AAGAGAGAGGAACTTGAAAGTTGGAGAGGATTCTTCAAGAGGGATGAAAAAAAAGGGCGGTAAAAAACGATGGGAAAGACAATGAAGACGAATGAAGAGAAAAAGAGAGAGAGAGAGAGAGAGAGAGAGAGAGAGAGAGAAAGTTTGTTAACTGGAGCGTAAAATTCACATTGGATTCATGACAAACACTATCTTGTTACATTAGAAAATTAGATCATTTTACTATGTGGGTTATCAATGCTATATTTTCACACATTTTCACACGTACATATGCTATATATATATATATATATATATATAATCTGGTATTTATATTTTTTATATATTACTATATATAAATTCACCGGCATTTATACTATTATTGTGTTAATTTTTTCATAAATTGAATCATATATTTTTCATAAAAATCATAAAAAGAAATTTTAAATAAAAATTTCTCTCTCTTTAATTAATCTGACGTTAAATAATATTTTATTTATCTTTTATTATCTATAATATATTGATAATATTTTTTAAAATAATAATAATAATAATGATAATAATAATAATCAATTTTAATTCTTTAATGCTATTATAACAATTATTATGTTAATTTTATGACAGATGAAATCGTATTTATCTTTTTTTTTTCTTCGTATTCTTAATTTTCTTTTCCTTCTTTTTTTTCTTTTTTTTTTTTTTGGAAACCTATCATGAAAAAAAATTTAATCGAAACTGAAATAATATTTCGTTTATTTCTTTTATTATCTGTAATATGCTTCATAATATTTTTTGTCTATTGCATCTATTTTTTTTTTTTCTTCTTTTTTTCTTCCATTTAAAAAAGAAATATTATCTCAAAGAGATGTTATTTGGAAAATAAATAAATAAATAAATAAATAAATAAATAAATAAATAAATAAATAAATAAATAAATAATAATATATACATGTATTATTATTATTTTTAATATCAGAAACAAAGAATTTAATTTTGGAATTTTTGAAATTAATTTCTTTTTCACATGTCAATTGAAATTAATCCAACAACGAGATTAAGACAAATAAATTGATCAAATAAATTTCTCTTGATGAATTTTCTTCATAAAATTTCCTATATATTTTCCTCTGTATAAAATTTTTTTATTATCCTTAACGATCGTAACCTCTTGATTGGGTTTTCGATTTGAAATTTCAACGACGAAAATGATTACGTATCATTAATATCGAATTTTTGTCGTTTTTTCAATACGATTATTATCAACTTATCATTCTTATTTCTCGATCCCTTTATTTCTTCCTGATTACTCGTGATTGCTCGTAATCATTTTTAATACGATATACCGATCGTAATACATATTTATATACGTATATATATATATATATATATATATATATATATATATATATATATATAGGATGTTAAATCTAATTCAATTAATTGAATTATCTCGTTCATTTATGAAAAATAGAAAAAAGAAAAAAAAAAAAGGAAAAGAAAAGAGCAAAGAAAAATATCAAAGGGGAAAGTTGTCCAATCAATGGGAATGATATTTCGATTGGTAATACATTTCTTTTTTTTTTTTTTTTCTCTCAACGTCATTTTGTTCTCAAACTTTCAAATTAAAGGAAGGTTTTATTTCTTTTTTTTTTCTCTTGTTTTTTTAAATGATCGACATATTTCCATTATCATGAAGATAATGTAGCTTTTAAATAAAACGTATACGACAATATTGAATACGTCGACGTTTAAATGGTATTGCGTAAGAAGGCCAAATTTTTGGAAAAATAAAAACAGAAAGGAAATAAAAGAAAGAAAAAATGATAAAATAATAAAATTAAAAAAAATTAATTCCAATATATATATATATATATATATATATATATATATATATATATATATATATATAGTACATATGTTACATAAAAATTTATAACACTGAATATATAGCGGTTGGACCAATCGGTCCTTCGACATGTTTAATATATAATTTTTTACGTTGAGAAAAAAAAAAAGAGAAAAATGATATTACAAGTGTTTGAATAAAATGAGACATACTGTATATAAGATTTTACGAGATAACGTATTTAATTGGAATGTTAACGAAGCAAGCCACGTAATAATAAGTTTATGAAGTCAATGGATAAGTATAGTCGGTCAGTGGTTATTATATGAGTTCATTGGACTCTGAATATATATATATATATATATATATATATATATATATATATACATAAGAATATATATATATATATATAATATATATATAATATATATATATATATATATATTTATATATATATATATATATAAAGAAGATGAACAAAATAAGAATTATAAAATCTATTCCTTTTTTTCTTTTATCCTTATACATATATATATATATATATATATATATATATATATATATATATATATATGAACGATAAATATAGTATATGAGATAAAATAATAAACGATTTGTAATTTTAATTTTACCATTTTCTTTTTGTTTCTTACTTTTCTTTCTTATTCTTTTTAGGCTAACATAAGCCAGACGGAATATGAGAGGGCGCACAGAGAGTACCTGAAGAAAGTGCAGCTGTCGCAGCATCATGGACCACCGCAGGAGTCGAGAAAGCGAAGAAGACTTCACGTGTTTCATGGCACAGGTATTAAAAAGAAAGAGAAGAAAAAAAGAAAAATAAAAAAATAAAAAAAAAAAAGAAAGAAAGAAAAAAGGAAAATAAAAAGAAATCGTGAGATTTTTCGTATTACTTTGTGTTATACGTACATACGTATATCTACATATAATATATATATGTATATATATATATATATATATATATATATATATATAATATACATATACATATAATATTAGGTTGGAAACTATGAAACGAGCGTTTTTGTTTAGTTATTTATTTTCATTCAAAGCCCGTTTCATAGTTTCCAACCTAATATATATAATCTATATATAATTATATACATTATATATCCATACAAATATATATATATGTATGTATGTATCTTTATTTATGTATATATATATATATATATATATATATATATATATATGTAATATATATATATATATTATTGTATATATATGTATATATATGTATATACATAAGTCTTTTTTTCATCTCACGTGAAGAGTAAAAAGAGAGAGAGAGAGAGAGAGATAGAGAGACTTGAAATTTTCACGCTTCGCTCGTAAACTCGTATAAGAAAAGCCCTGACACTTTGTTTCTTACAGATGAGAGAAAAGGTTAAAAGAATGAAAGAAGAAAAAAAAAAGAAAAGAAAAAGAAAGAAAGAATGAATGAGAAAGAGAGAGAGAGAGAGAGAGAGAGAGAGAGAGAGTGAGAGACAGAAATTAAAGGGTCATTTAAAAAAGGGCCACAAAATTTTCCCCCAAGAATTCCGACAAAAAGGGCTACTCCTCGTCCACCTTCAACCCCCTACCACCTTTTTCCTCACCGTTCAACTTCTTCTCCCCTACCCCCCACATCTATATCCTCCTTCTCACGCGTCCCACCCCATTTCACCATATTCTCTCTAAAAAACTCAAGCGAATACTTTTAGCAAAGAACCACTGCAAACTCATTTCTATTGTAATTCTTTCTTTCTTTCTTTCTTTCTTTCTTTCTTTCTTTCTTTCCTTTGCCTTCTTCTTCTTCTTCTTCTTCTTCTTCTTCTTCTTCTTCTTCTTCTTCTTTTTTCTCCTACTTTTTTTTCGTTTCTCCCGTCAGTATCGAATGGTAAGAAAAAGAAAAAAAACAGACGAAATGTTGGAAGAAGAGGTACGAAGAGGTACGAAGAGTGCGAGAGAGAGAGAGAGAGAGAGAGAGATAGTGCGAGAGAGGTGAAAGGAAGAGAGAAGGTGTGAGTAGAGGAGGAGGAGGAGGAGGAGGAGGAGGCGGGGGTAGAAGACAACGAAGGGAAAATCCCCGAAGCGTGGAAATCCCCTAGGAACTTGAAACAAACGTCCAGAAGATTGATACTCCTATCACGGTCAATGAACTTAGAGTACTGGAAGATCTCACGGATCTTTTAACGGAAGGAAATAGAAGAAAGTAGGATATGAAGAGGATAAAGATAAATAGGACGAAGAAATAGATCTAACGATGGATATATTATTATATTGCATAATGCAAGGGGAAAAAAAAGAAAAAAAAAAAAAAAAAAATAGAAATGAGGTAGGTCGGTGGATGGATTGAGAGGAGAATCGGATCGATCGTTTCCATCATTTAGTCAGTACAACAGTAACGATGATGTAACTTCTGTAACTTTTAATGCATCATTGTACGTCATCACTTGCGTCAAATATTTTCCGTTTCTTTAGTTTCTCAGAATGAATGACGAATGGAATAATTAAAATACGATGGATAAAATCTATTTACGCATCTATCTATCTATCTATCTAACTATCTAGCTATCTAGCTATCTATACTTAGCTAGATATGTAGATAGATAGATAGATAGAATAATAAGAGATAGAGATAGAGATATTGAGATTGAAAAAGAAAGAAAGAGAGAGAGAGAGAGAGAGAGAGAGAGAGATACAGATAAAGGAAGAGAGAGAGAGAGAGAGAAAGAGAGAAACTAGCGGATGCTGAAATACTAAGATTCGAAGAGTATATTTCTTTTGGAGTGTCTCGAGCAAATATACGAAAGGCTATTATTGGAACTTGTTAGAGAGAAAGAGAGAGAGAAAAAGAAAGAGAGAGAGAGAGAGAGTGAGGGAGAGAGAGAGAATGAATTCATTAGAGAAAAATTTCAAAGTCTTTGTATCGATCATATAAGAAATGATTTATATTAACTCACTATAATTATTTGATTTATTTTTTATGACGTGTACATATATACATATACAGAGATACGGACATACGAATAAACGTAATCACACATTTGTATGTACGTTTGTATGTATGTATCTACGTGTATATTTAACTGTATTGTTTTATTTATATTTGAAAAATTTGATTGAACTTTATTTGAAAAAAAATTTTATATACAATTAATTTCTATTACGTTATATAACATTCGATTTAATATATAACTACATTATATATTATACCTGTACTATATATGGTATTTGTTTTTATTAATTATTGCATAATTATATACTTAAGTATATAATTGTATATTAATTATATAATTGAGTGTCCAAAGATATGGTATATATTTATATTATATTATAATCCTATATGATTATATTGATAATATTTAATACTATTGTAAGTACAGTTACTTAATATATATATTATATCTTGACATTATATAATAATAATGTCTAGAGAGGAAACAATCATAGGGAAATTAAGTTTTCTATCTCTCTCTCTCTCTTTTTTTTTTTTTTTTTTTTTTTTTAATTCTTTAATCAACAACCGTATGAAGAAAAAAAAGAAAAAAAAAAGAGATCAGTTACACGTACAATAGTAGATTTTCTTTTTCTTTTTCTTTTTCTTTTTTCATTCTTTCTTTTTCCTCTTTTTTCTTTTTTTTTTTTTTTTTTTTTTTGATATGAAAATTTTACTACCATCTATCATATATAAATCTTTCACGTTAACGAATTGATAAATATTAATTGTACGTACTGTGCACGTTTAATCGAATTTTAATAATCCAATCCAAAAATGGATTGTCGTACGAAACGTTACTATTTCTATGATCGTTTGATTAATTTTAGAATATGTATTAGATCTATCTCTTAGGAAAAATTTATACGATATCGTTTTCCTGTCTGATATATAATTGTCCTACTGGTGTAAATAAATCTTACCTTAGGGTTAGGTTTGTACAGATAAAAGAGGGTGCGAAAGAAACGTGACATTTGACTAGAAACCAGCAGTCAACTAATATATATATATATATATATATATATATATATATATATGAAATTGTACGTTCTATTCTTTTCTATTCCCTTCTATTTTTTTTTTTATACTATTCTATTCTATTCTCTTCCATTCTATTCTATTTTATTCTTTTCAATATTCTTTTCTTTCTCTTCTTTTTTATACGATTTTCTTAGACAGCAGTTATCGTAGATTTCGAAAGGGAATGTTTATTCGTGTCAATAAGATAAATTTTACCAGTGATATATTATTAGATACACACTTTTAAACGCTGTTGCAGTTGTTTCTCTCTCTCTCTCTCTCTCTCTCTCTCTTTCTCTCTCTCTCTCTCTGGACCAATTCATTCTTTCTTTAACCACGTTACTTCTCCTTCATTTCTTTCATCAACAACGACCTGTGTTATGTTACATATATACATATAAACACACATATACACACACACAGACACTCACACTAGTACAATGTATATATGTACTAGAATGATATAATAAGAATTTTAAAACCGTAGATCTTATGTCCACTTGAAAAGGCAAATTAATCCACGATAATATGGATATCAGTTATTTCGAGATAGATTAGAACAATTTTTCTCTTTGATTTATAAATACAACTGATATTGTTCTTAAATCATAAATCATTAATCATCTTGTTAATTTATATTAATGATAATTATCAAGATCAAAGGAAATTGATGATAATCGTTTATGAACATTGAATTATGAACGTAACAATTTGTAAGAAATGATATGGATCCAAAGAAAAAAAAGAAAATCAATGTTCTATGTAAGCAGATAGAATTTATGATTTTGTTGATTCCAAAAAAAAAAAAAAAAAAAGAAAAAAAAAGAAAAAGCAGTAAATAATTTATCTGTATTATTACGAAAAGATAGATTTATATTATATCAAGTATGAATATCATTCTCTCATAATTTTTATGCATTTATTTGTAAGTTTAGAATGATCTAATTAACGAGATAAAAATGTTTATTCATTAACGATTATGAATTTATGTGATTATACTGATGAAGAAAAAAAGAAAAAAGAGAAAAAAAAAGAAGAGAAAGAAGAAAAACAATAGGAAAAGAAAAAGATCATTACGTACAATTTATTTGTCTTGAAAAGTTAAATAATAATACAGTGGGAGGTCTTTTATCTTAAGTATTATTATCATAATCATAATTATAATCATTAACGAGACAAATGTTTTCAGTAACAACTTAGATATTTCTGATTTATCTAATATAAAAATCAATAAATATAATTTATCTATATTATAAAGATAGATAAATATAATAATAGTTGTTTATCTTCTCCATGTACGTCATAATTTAAATGATTTAATTAACAAGACAAATGTTTTCATTGACCAAGTAAATATTTCTGATTTAATTGATTAAAAAATGAATACGTCCAATTTATATATATATGTGCAGTGTGTGCAGTATGTGTGTATGTGTGTATGTGTGTGTGTGTGTGTGTGTGTGTGTGTGTGTGTGTGTTAAGAAAGGTAGATAAATATAATAATAGTTATTTATCTTCGATATGAACATCGTAATTTAAATGATTTAATTAACAAGACACATGTTTTCATTAACTACGTTAGATATTTCTGTTTTAGTTTGATAAAAAAGTCAGTACACGTAATTTATCTGTATTAAGATGTTAGATAATAATAGTGACCCGTTTATCGTCAATTAAGAACATAATAATAATTTAAATGATACAATTAACGATATACATAGAATTAAATTAAAAAAGTAAAATTTTTGATTCTATCAATTCAAATATCAATAAGTAATTTCTCTATT